ATGGTAGGCAACTTACACACAGACGCCATTACCCGTTAACACAATGGGTGCCATATCACATGCAAGAATTACGAAGTATTGTTCTAAGTGAAGGACCAATTTATCTGTAGGATTTTTGCCCCGGCCGCTGGGAGAAACTCCCTTCTCTTGGCATCCTTAAGGTAATGGTCCTGACTTCTCCAGCATTTCCCTCCCCACCCTCCACGAGCTCCAAATCATCCAGAACCCCGCAGCCCCCGTACTTTGTGTGTAATCTTTACCAATTGACTTTTCACTCCACAAACAGCTGTGAAGTGAATGTCCGATTTTTATCTTGTGGATTTGTTGGCCGGGACACCCAAGAGAAACCTGCTTCTCTTTCGCACGTCATTTGATGTTTAACGTCCACCTGAACAGTCACAGACAGGACCTTGGTTCAGTGTCTCATTCCAACGACAAGCTTCCGACAATGCAGTGTCCCCCCCACTCTCCCACTCCCCCAACCAAACCCCCCCCCCCCCCGTCCAGCCACTGTAGTGTCAGCCGAGACTGCGAGCTCAAAATCCTGATTGTGGGGCTTGAACCCAGAACCTTCTGCCTCGGAGCCGAGGGTTTTGCCGATGGAGCCAGGCTGACACCTGCGTGAATTCAGTGAACAAGTACGCTCAATGGCTGGTTCCAGTATTCCCGGCTTTGTGTGTGTAGCCGGTGTCTGAGCGGGTGTGCAATTACACAGAATTACATTGAATATACAGCGCAGAAACAGGCCATTCGGCCCAACTGGCCTATGTCGGTGTTTATGCTCCACATGAGCCTCCTCCTAAGCCTTCAAGCCCAACCTTCTGTTCCTTTCTCCCTCACATGCTTATCCAGCTTCCCCTAGATTCCTAACACCAATTTTCTTGTGTGGCAAATTCGGATCTTAAAAGGACATTTGGTTGAAAATCGGTGTTTACCGATTGACTTCTCACCAAAAACTAACTTTACTGTAGACTCCTGTGGTTAGAGCACTCGCCTCGCAAGCGAGAGGACCTGGGTTCAATTCCCAGGCGAGGTGAAACCTTAGGCAAGTTTCCTTACTCCACACGCCTCTGTTTACCCAGCAGGTAAGTAGGAACCTGGTTGTTAGTCGATCGACGGATCACTTTCCAGAGGTAAGAATCTCTCCAAATTTTTTTTAAAAAATAATAATTTGGTCACTCAATCCACGGCTGTTTGTGGGGCACTGCTGTGCATTTCGTCCACAAAATACACAGTTAATTCACGATATCAAATGGAAAGATTATTATTATTATTAATGGTCCTTTGCTATACTGTGTCCAGTGATTGCACAATCAAACCCCTTTTGTGATGTATTTTACAATGTAATCCACCCCCTTCCCCTAATAACTATCAATGCACAGATAATTTAATTCACAGTAGGTTCACCAGCGTAAACTTATAAAAATCGAATCTCTGCAAACCATTAACACTGAGAGATAATCTGTTGGATTTCAGGAAAACGAGCAATTGATTTGAATTCGTAAAGAGTAGCCTCGACGCAGTTAACCCTCTACCAAAGCTGCTGTGCTGCGTTCAGTGATACAGATCTGTTTGTTATCCACTCTAGACCTCCCGGGAGGGGAGGGAGGAGAGGTCGGGTGGGGAGGGAGGGAGGGAGGGAGGGAGGGAGGGAGAAGAGGTGGGGGACGGGGGGAGATGGGGGAGGGGCTCGTGATGATATATTTCGGGATGTTCCGCTCCGTTTAAGCGATACTGCTTAGTGAATGGAGGGCGGCAGGAATGAGCCACATTGCACATTGTAGCCTGTTAGTGAGACTTGCGGCGATTTCCTGGCTACCAGTAGTCGCGAACCTTGGTGAATCGTACAGTCACAAACCAACCGCGCAGAGGTGTAAAGAGGCGCCATTGGCCGTCTGTGCATTCCTGTCTCCAGCTCTGATCGGGAGAGGTTCGAGGACAGAGAGCTCGCCAACTGTTTGACATTTCCAGAACACATGCCCTATCCGGTTTAATAATAAAAATAATCCTTGCGTTTGATACAGCGCCTCATCACGTCTTCGAGACGTCTCAAAACGCTTCGCAGGATACACTGTAAAGTGAATTGATTGCATATTTTGTGGGCGAAACGCGGCCGCCAATCGCGCACAGCAGCGTCCCCCACACACACACGGTCGTGGATTGAGTGACCAAATGTTTTTTTATAAAGAAAGTATTTGGAGGGATTATTACCCCCGGAAAAACGATCCGCCCATCGACTAACAAACGGGTTCCTACTTAAGGATAACAGAGGGGTGCGGAGTGAGGAAACCTGCCTAACGTTTCGCCCTGACCAGGAATCGAACTCAGGTCCTCTCGCTTGCCAGGCGAGCGCTCTAACCACTGAGCTACGGGACTCCACAAATCTACTGTATTAATTCGAATGGGATCTAAATATCTTGTGTCTCTTCCCAGCAGCTGTGAGCTCAGCGCAGCCTGTGGTGCGGCAGCTGCCGGGCAACTGATGAGAATCTCCCCCACTCCCCAAAAAAACCTTCCCGGAATCATAGACCGGACTTTTGGATACAATAGAACTTGGGACACGACATGTCAATCGCCTGCCAGGATGGACCTTGGTCTTCCTTCGGCAGCAAATTATGTTCTTATGTTTTCCCACATTCCTGATTTAATGACAAAAATTGGGTTTAATACTGAATAACGTATGTCTGCGCACTTATACGGGCGACAAAACCTTATGAGCGCTCCTGAGACGCTACTCTGCTTGGAGAGAGCTAAGTAAGTGCAAGTTGTTGTATACACACTACAAATACACAGTCACTGCACTTTGTAATAAACCTTGTGAGTGCTTTGAGATGTTTCGATGAAAGTACGATGGATATCAAACTGATATCAAACTCACCGAAAGTAATTGCAGTGTGTATTATATATTGATAAATACAGTATATAATGGATGTTTGTGTGTGTGTATCTTATATGGAGTGAGAGAGGGTGTCAGCTTGGCTCAATTGGTAGCTCCCTCACCTCTAACTTGGAGGTTGGGGGTTAATCTCTAAATGTAACTCCCGTCCCCCACCGGCCCCCCTTTCAAAACCGCTATCAAAAAGCTCTCCCTCAACTCTTCGATGCTCTCCAGTTGCCTGGGTGTCTCCAACCTGCCTTTCCTCTCTGAGGTTCGGGAACAAATTGCCACCATCCCGGCTTCACTCCCTCCCTTCCTACTAACCTTACGACCTATCGTTTCATCCGTGCCTTCCCCTTACCTCGGGTTCCTGTCAGTTATGTAGCTCAGTGTTTAGCACGGGTTAGACCTGGGTTTGAATTCCAGGATGGGGCAAAACCTCAGGTGAGTTTCCTCACTCCACATGACTCTGTTTATCGAGCAGTAATAAGGCACCTGGTTGTTGGTTGATTGGTGGATTGCTTTCGGGTGTAATAATCCCTCAAAAAAATAACTTGGGCACTCAATCCATGACTGTTTGTGGGACGCTGCTGTGCACAATTGGCTGCTGGGTTTCAGCCACAAGATGCAGAGTCAATCGACTTTACAGCATATTCTGTGATGAGCTTTGAGACGTCTCAACGACGTAAGGCGCTATATCAAATGCAAGGGTTATTATTACTATTATTATTATCAAGCCCTCTGAGACATCCTCTCGATGTGAAGGGCACAGTACAAGTGTAGATTGTTGATCTGCTGAAATTAACTAACTCAGTTGAGGGGGTTAGTGGAGAGACAGAGAGACCTATAACTCTGTTGTGTATCGCCCGAGCTCTGATCCTATCTCTCTCTCTCCAAGACGCTAAGTTTGTAACGTGCATTTTCGCTGAATCCCTCATTAATAGATGAAACCACCAACAACTTGCATTTGCATAGTGTCTTCACGAGGGGCAGTGTCTCGGAGCGCTTAGAAGTGGCGGAACCTGACACTGAGCCGGGGGAGGGAGGAGATGACCGTAAGCTCGGTCAAACAGGAAGATCCTCAGTCGTGATCTAAAAGAGGGGAAGGAGGGACCAGGCGGAGGGATTGGGGGAGAGAGCTCCAAAGGTTTGGGGCGTGTGGCTGAAAGTGCGGCCCCCGATGGCGGAGCAGAGGGGATGAGGGACAAGCAGAAGGCCGGAGCGAGGACTGTTGTGATGGGGGTACGGTGTTTAAAAATCAATGGAAGCGGGGCCCAGCCCGGCTCGGGAAGCCCTTTCCCATCAGGCGAGGAGGTGAAATTGACGGCGTCTGTCACGTGTTTATCTATATGTTCTGCGAGAGCCTCCCTTCGCCAAAGACATTCCTCGCATTCCCAGTTCTTTATTGCTGATTGCTGGCGGAGCTGAAGGCTTTAATTCGGGCCCAATTGACAAGCCAGGGAATCAAACTCACAACATTCCCAGCTGCTCTGATTTGATTCCCGGCCTCGAGGAGAAAATACACCCAACGCATTCGAAGTTAGCGGTTCTTGAGGCGAGGAGATGTTTTCCCAAGATTTCTGGACTTTTCACGTTAAAAAAAAAACGCACCCAAGTCTGTCATTCGGATAAATCTCTTAAGAGTGACTGAGCTTTGAGTGCAGAGATTGCTCTGCGGGAGGTCGCAAGCTCTACACCTCGAAGCTGTGGTCACTCTCCCCCCTCAACCCCTCCGCCTTGTCCCCTGTTTCCCCATCTTCGGGTCATGCACACCCCAGCACTGAATTGGAGTGTTATCTTCGACTCAATGAATTCCAAGGCCCAACTTGAGGCCCCCCCCACCCCACCCACCCCACCCAAACTTCTGACTAATTCTTAAAATTCCGTCTCGATTTGGAAGCCTTTTTTCTGAGGATTTGTGGGGAAAACAGCTGCAAATAACGACTGAAATGTTATGCAACAATCTTGAATTTAAGGCAGTGGCCTAAAGGTAAACGCTATGTGAAGTTTGAGGGTTACATGTTTACAGAGTTTACCAAAAATCAAGTCAACTGAGTTTATTGTCTTAGAGAAACAAAACCTGTTCCATGGTATTAAACCTTCCAACTCGTTTCTTTCACAGAAGTCGCAAGATCCAGATTAGGAACATCCCACCACACTTGCAGTGGGAGGTAAGTGAAGGAATTTCTTTCTTTGCTGTAAATTCGGTCCGTATCCCCCCCCCCCCGCCACCCCCACCCCTTGTTTAAAATTAAATTCACTCTCTCCTTTCACGACTCCAGTCTCCGAGAGGACGACTGGACAATAATTATCTTGAAACTTGCCAGATATATCTCTGGACCTCGGTTTCACGGCGTCTCTGACGTCGCATCGCTCTGGCACTGCACTGGAGTGTTGGCCTCGACTGTAAGCTCACAAAGTCCTATCGTGGGGGTTGAACCCCACAACCTCTGACTCAGAAGCGAGAGTGTTACCAACTGAGCCCGGCTGACTCTCTCAATTGACTCTCGCTGCTACTTAATGATCTTAATTATTAAAAAAAGTTTTAAAGAAACATTATTTGAAGGGATTATTACCCCCGGAAAAGCGATCCGCCAATCGACTAACAACCGGGTTCCTACTTACTGCTGGTAAACAGAGGCGTGCGGAGAAAGGAAACTTGCCCAACGTTTAGCCCGGGAATCAAACCCAGGTCCTCTCGCTTGCGAGGCGAGTGCTGATAATTGACCCTCACTGTTACTTACTTAAAAATAATAATAATAATGAAATAGCAATCCTTGCATTTGATATAGCGCCTTACCACGCCTTTGAGGTGACTCACAAAGCGCTTCACAGACTATACTGTAAAGTGTAGTGTAGTGACTGTATATTTTGTGCGCAGAAAGTGTAGTTTACTCCCATGTGAACCACACCGCAGAGGCCAGCAACAGAGGACTTGATGCTGAGCTGATGTCCTGTGGGCAGGTATTCACTTTGGGATTGATTGAAACGTGCAATGGAAGCTCGACAGATTGACACAGAGAAGTGAGCCTCCTATAGGCAGTGGGTGGTTACGGCTGGAGGGGGCTCAGTCCCCACCCACCCCCCCACACAAAAAAACTCTTATCTACAGCTCACCTCTAAGGGGAGTTGGAAGGGGAAAGCCCTGAGAAGGACCACAGCCAGTCCTCCAAACAACCCCAATCTTTTTGCACCCTTCTTGCCCCTCTCCCAACACATCCATGCCCCCCCCCCCCCCCCACTACCAGCCCATCGGGTTGCTTATCGTGTGTTCTCACCTTGATTGACCGATTGACCTGCCAGTCAACCTTGGAACACTCTTCCTCTATCCTGTCCTCTTCGTCCGTTTTACTCAACCCCCATATCCCCTTTCCCCCACCACCCCCTTTAATATTCTACAGAGCCTTTTACCCAGTTAGTTTGGGCTGAGTTTAAGTCCAGGTTGAAGGGGTGAAACGTGAAAAGGCACTGATTCAGCCCATTTAGTGCTGTAAAACTTGACTTTATTGTGGAGGAACCCACTTTGCAAATGGACTTTGTCACCCTATATATTTGTGTAGTTAGTTCGGGGAGGGAATAGCCTGAGCTGGGGATAGCTTGTGTTCATTCTGCCATACAACATATTACACTATAAATATCTGGAAGTGCGGTTGGCAACTCAAGGCAGTTGCTTTCTGAGCTGCTGATCTGGGCCCAGAGGTAGATGGCTTCTTTGCCAGAGGGGAAGAAAGTTGAGTGCAAGTGGACAATTGGTGTCTCATCACTCCGAGGACAACTGACATCAACAGCAACTTACATTTACACAGCGCCTTTCACGTGGTGGGTGGGGGGGTCGGGGGTGGGGGGTGAGGGAGCATCCAGGACCATGGACAGTCAAGGATTTGGACCCGAGCTGGGGGTTGGGATCAGGAGGGGTGGAGGGTAGGGAGGGTGGGAGTAGTAATCTGAGACCATCTGATAATGTGGGGAAGACTGAAACACTGAAATAGATGATTCAAACACAACATAAACCACCCAGTGCTCGCTCAGCATGGAGAGCCGCTGGGAATCTCTTGCTTTCAGTTCACAAGGGGGCTTGGTGGAGTCGTTACCCCTTTGACTTTGGCCCATGTCTTAAACTGTTGCTGTCTGACACACACACAGGTCTTGGATGGTTTGTTAGCACAGCACGGAACAGTGGAAAACTGCGAACAAGGTACGTGAGCGATTGTACGTCTCTGTGCGTGGCAGGCCGGAGTTTATCTGGGGATGTTTAGCTTCTGTTTCACGGTTTGAGCCTGAGGACGGGTTGTTAGGAGGGCAAACTGAGGCCTGTTCAGCCAGTGATTGTGTGAGGTTAGCCAATGAGGACAAGATTGGGTTTGGGTATTAATTAAATCACCTTTGCAAACAGGAGACACGGTCGGTTTGTTTCTTCCAACACCTAACCCCACCCAACCCACCTCCCCCAACCATTGTGTAGGGTCACTGAGTAGCCATTGAGAGTTGGGGCCCTGACAGATTCCCTCTCCTCCTCCCCACGAGTTGAGGCATATTAGTAACGACTGCCTGGGATCAGCTATCTCCAGGATCGGGCTTGCTCCTTTCCAGTCAGAAACCCGTGGAAGTGGCAGAAAATGGAACCTGAGAGAGAGGGAGTGTGTGTGTGTGTGGGGGGGGGGCGATAGGGGGTGGTGGTTGGTGTCCAGTGTCGATCTGAATCCGATCCAGGAGCGAGCGGTCCAGGAGCGAGCGTCAGGCACAGAGCTTCCTCCTGCAGGTTGACTTCACTCCAACACGCTGTACTTGGAACCAAATCCAAACCACAAAACCACTGAGCTCAGAACCAACTGCGCAGCTTGAAAGCCTGGCTCAGCTCCAGGGTCTCACCTGCCACTCGCTGGCAGTTTCTTTAAAATAGAGAGGGAGAAGAGGGCGAAAAGTTCCCTTTATTTCCCTTGTGTATCTGAAATTGATTTACTGCTTCCCACTGCCTTGGAGGTGAGGAGCGCGGTGGGGCGGGGGCTTTGGCCTAAGTTGGCTAAGTCTCAGCTGGGGTAGCCTTTTGGGTACAGTTCAGCTCAGCGTCCCTGAGCTGACAAGTCAACCAGACCCTCGCTTCCCATCACTGCTTATCGGCCTCCCTCACCGCAAAGTATTGAAGTATTGATGTTGAAACGAGGCTTGAGGTACTTGGGAGGTTTGCACTCCAAACCACACGATGGTTTGGAGCAGTTAATTTGGGGTCATTTAGAAAAGAAATGGGACGACCACAAGTAATCGAATAACGATAATGATGATAATAATAATAATAGCAATAATAATAATAATCCTTGCATTCTTCCAGACATCTCAAAAGCGCTTCGCAGAATATTCGGCAAAGTCGAATTGACCGTACGTTCGTGGGCGAAACGCGGCAGCCGATTGCGCACAGCGGTGGGGACCGGGAGAACGTGGCGGGTGGGGCAAACACCGGCACGGGAAAATGGCGCGAATGGCCTCCTACTGTGTCGTACAGTTCGGGAGGACAGGGAACGGAGAGACACTGGAGGGAGTTGGTTGTGATGTATTTTTCTGTGTGTGTGTGTGTGTTTTTTTTGCCAGTGAACACAGAGACGGAGTCTGCAGTGGTGAACGTTACATACGGAACCAAGGACCAGGCGAGGCAGTGAGTGGAGAATTTGCGAACGTGGCAGCCAACTTGTGTCGCGACACGGGGGGGGAGTCTCCGCTTAACGTCTCATCTGAGGGACGCGTCTCTGACCACTAACCGTTGTCCCGGCCGGCGCTCCAGCCCATCAATAATAATAATAATAATAAATAACAATAATAATCCTCGCGTTTGATACAGCGCCTTATCACGACGTCGAGACGTCTGAAAGCGCTTTGAAACCCCTCCCTTCCTCCCTCTCTCCCTCCCTCCCTCCCTCCCTCCCTCCCCGCTTGCACAGAATATACTGTAAAGCGAAGTGACTGCGCATTTGGCGGGCGAAACGAGGCAGCCGATTGCACGCAGGAGCGACCCACAAAGGCATGTTGTTGTTGTCATCTCCCGCTGTCTGTGTGTCCTCCTCTCAGAGCCATCACCAAGCTGAACGGTCACCAGATGGAGAGCTACTGCCTGACGGTCACCTACATCCCCGACGAGCAGGCAGCCCAGCCCGGCCAGGAGATGGGCCGGAGGGGCTTCAGCAGCAGAGGTCCCTCCCAGCAGGGCTCGGGCGGCTCAGCGCCTGTGAAGCAGCCCTTCGACATCCCGCTTCGCATCCTGGTGCCCACCCAGTTCGTGGGAGCCATCATCGGAAAAGAAGGGGCCACCATTCGGAACATCACCAAACAGACACAGTCTAAGTAAGGCTGGCGGCTTGCGGTTCTGGTTGTTGTGGAGGTTCAATAATCCTTTCGTTTTGGCACAGCACCGTATCGCACCTTCGAGACATCTCAAAAGCGCTTCAGAGCATCTTCAGGTGTAACGTGAATTGACTCTATACTTTGGGGCCGAAAGGCAGCAGCCTAATTGCGCACAGCAGTGTCCCACGTGGATTGAATGAACGATGTATTATTATTATTTTTGGAGGTTATTATTATTACCCCAGAAAGCGATCCGCCAGTCGACTTAACAACCAGGTTCCTACTCACTGCTCGGTAAACAGAGGCGCGTGGAGGAAGGAAACTGGCCTCGGGTTTGTTTCCTGCCCGGGAATCAAACCCAAGTCCTCTCGCTTGCGAGACGAGCGCTCTGACCACTACACCTGTCCCGTAGGTGGACAGTGAAAGTCATCTCATCGCAAAATCGTTCCACCGGGCGCTTGTGTGCGCATTGCGGACCATTCGTAAACGGAGAGCTCCCCCTATAGGCAACACAGCGACACTGACGGAGACCTGATCTGAGCTGAAACCAAACCTCTTTACAGCAACTGATCATCACCTCACCTCTCGAAGAGCTTCGCAAGTGATGGGTCACGTTCAATCGTAACAGTTCGGTCACGTCAGCCCCACGGCTGCTGGTGGAGCCGACGCTGCCCTGTTCCTTTCCCCCAAGTGCACAGTCGATTCACTTCGCGGCGTGTCCCGCGAAGCGCTTTCAGACGTCTCGAAGACGCGATCGGCCGCTGTATCGAACGCCAGGATTTATTATTATGTCCTCGTGGAGTCACGTTGCAGCAACGCTGTCTGGGAGGGTGGGAAGTGGGGATTGGGGAGAGGGGGTGGGGATTGTGGTGGACGTATGTTCGGGCAGGGTATCAAGGGATGTGGAGCAAAGGCAAGTAAATGGAGTTCAGGGGCAGATCAGCCATGATCTAACAGACTGGTGGAACAGGGCTCGAGGGGCTGAATGGCCTCCTCCTGCTCCTACGGGCCACGGGTCACAGAGCGGCTTTTGTGACCGTTGTGTCTCCTCGTGGCAGGATCGACGTCCACAGGAAGGAGAACGCAGGAGCAGCCGAGAAGCCGATCAGTATCCACTCGACCGCGGAGGGCAGCTCTGCCGCGTGCAAAATGATCCTGGAAATCATGCAACAGGAGGCACAAGCCACCAAGACGTAGGTCCTGTTTACCCCGCCTCGTCCCCCTGCCCTCCCCTCCCCTCCCCTCCCCCTCCCCCACCCAGCTCCCACTGCCCACCACCCCCCACCCCGTCCATGGTAACAATAACACTCTCTGCACCCCTCACTCTGATGTACTCCGCACTCATTGTAACACTCTGGCCACTTGCACGCACGCACGCACTCGCTCGCACACTCGCTCACACTCGTGCACACACGCTCACACTTGTGCTTGTGTGCGCGTAACACACACACTTACGCACTCGCGCACACAGTTCGAGCCCCTGCGTCCCGCGCTAACGCGAAACAACAACAGCAACAATAATAATTTGATCGCTCAGTCCCCGCCTGTTTGCGGGCAGCGCTGTGACCGGTTGCGCTTTGAGACGTCTCAGTCACGTGATAAAGACGACATCAAATGCAAGGATGGTGACCACTGTGACTTATTGTAACTCCGCTCTCCTTCACGGTCGTGTCATGTCTGTAGGGCAGAAGAGGTTCCGTTGAAAATCCTGGCGCACAATAACTTTGTGGGGAGGCTGATCGGGAAGGAAGGCAGGAACCTGAAGAAAGTGGAGCAGGACACGGAAACCAAAATCACCATCTCTCCGTAAGTTCTGCCGCACGGTTTCGGGGTTTAAGCTCAGTCCGTCCATCCCATCACCACGGGTGTCGCGGGGGGGGGGGGGGAGAAATGGGGGCAAGTCCCGCTGGATAGGAACTGGAGTAAGGCGAGTGGATTTGCGGCTCAGTCTCCCAAATCCTCAGCGCTCCGAGACGCCATCTGGCGTGAAGGACGCTGTATGTGGAGACTGTGGGTGAGTTGTAGCACTCATTGCACCGCTGTGCATGTAGGAAGGTGGGGAAACAGGAATAGGAGGAGACGATTCAGACCTCCGAGCCTGTTCCACCAGTTTATTAGATCTCGGCAGATCTTGATCTTTTGATGCCCTGCCGTTTTCTCATCGTCCTCAGTGTGTGTCTGCGTGTCTCTCTCTCTCTCTTAAACGTCCCTATTAATTCCACCTCTACGGCTTTCTGAAGCGGAGAGTTCCATATCATCACAATAATAACCATCCTCTCATTGACATAAGTGGAAGGACACCTCATCGCGTCGTTGAGACGTCTCAAAGCGCTTCACAGACTATACTGCAAAGTGTTTTGACTGCAGTATTTTCCTGGATAAAACACGGCAGCCAATTGCAAACAGCCGTGGATGGAGTGACACATTATTATTTAATTTATATACGTATTTTTGAAGGGAAAGCCATCCACCAACCGACTAACAATCAGGTTCCTACTTACTGCTGGGTAAACAGGGGCGTGTGGAGTAAGGAAACTTGCCCAAAGTTTTGCCCTGACCTGCCCGGAAATCAAACCCAGATCCTCTCGCTTGCGAGGCGAGCGCTCAAGTCACTGAGCTCCAGGACTCCACAGCCCTCTGTGTGAAGAAGTTGTTCCTGACCTCGGTTCTCACCACCTGGGCTCTGATTTGATTTTGAGGTCCTTGTAATATTTCAACATATTCAGAGTGCAGTTCTGGAGATGGCTGTGTTTAATTCACTGTGTTTAACCCCCTGCAGGACAATCACATTTATGCAGGTGGTAGTGTAGATCTCCTGGAGGTCGATGCCTTTGCGTGAATCTTGAGCCACCCTCCAGCTCTCATGGACTTAGAATAGAATCAACAAATCCTACAGCACAGAAGGAGGCCATTTGGCCCATCCTGCCTGTGCCGGCTCTTCGAAACAGCTACCAATTCGTCTCGCTCCCCCGCTCTCACACCGTAACGCTGCCCGTTATCCTTTTCAAGTATATATCCAATTCCCTTTTGAGAGTGGTTATCGATTCTGCTCCCACCACCTTTCCAAACCGCAACAACTCTCTGGGTAAAAAGCGTGTCTCCTCGTCCCTCCTCTGGTTCTTTTGCAAATTATCTTAAATCGGTGTCCTCCACCTGCCCTGACAATGAAGCCATCAATCTTGTTGGATCTGACCTCTCTGGACTTTGGACGCTCTCTATCGTCAAACCGTTCCATGAAGTTAATAGAATGCTTTCACTCAACATCAACACCAAATTACATTGTATAGCGCCTTTCATGTCGGGAGGACGTCCGCAGGCGCTGGATAGTCAGGGATTTGGACTAATTGGGAATAATAATAATAATAATCCTTGCATATGATACAGTGCCTTTCATATCAGGAGGACATCTCAAAGTGCTTCACAGGATTGACTGTAAAATGTAGTGCCTGTTTGCTGTGTTGGTGAAAATGGGAACCCATTATGTTCACAACAATGTTCCACAAACAGCGATGAAGTGAGTGACCAATTGTATCTGGGGGATTGTTGGCCAGGACAACAGGAGAAACTAGACTTATATCTGGATTATAGATATAGTACAAAATCATGCCATGGGGGTTTGAACCCACAACCTCACGGGCAAGAGTGCCACCAATTGAGCTCAGCTGACTCACCAATACAGATCGACTTAATGTCAGTGTCAGTGTCTCAAAGCGAATTCCTAGTGAGTGCGGGGACTGCTCCTTCTAACTAGACGTCCAACTCTCAAAGTGCACGAAAACTAAACCCCTTGCTCCAGTGAATCCAGTGAATTTTCATTCCATTTCAATTTCTCCCCCTCTCAGTCTGCAGGATCTAACCTTGTACAACCCAGAGAGAACCATCACTGTGAAAGGCTCCATAGAAGCCTGCTGCAAGGCTGAGGAGGACATCATGAAGAAAGTGCGGGAAGCCTATGAGAACGACATCGCCGCTATGAATGTAAGTCTGTTGGCGACTGGGGCCTGCGAGGTGTTCACCTTCAACTGTCCACTTGACAACGTTCCATGGATCTCCTGACCTCCACGAGGCCCTGAATGTTGGTCACTTGTTTGACTCGCTTGTCCCTTCTGTTGTAATGTGCGTTTTTCTTCCTCTCCCCAAACCGAGAGGCCAGGGCTGTGGGTTCCTGTGTTTGCGCTGCCTTTTAGGGGCGGGGGGGGGGGGGGTGGTTTGGAGGTTAAGGCAATTTCATCTTCCTGCCCTGTGGCCGATCGCAGGATCTGTATCGTTCTTCTTACAACACAATACAGAATTACATTTCTAAAGTGCCTTTCAAGTTGGGAGAACGTCCCAAGGCGCTGAACAGTCAGGGATTATGTTTCGAGCGAGTGGGGAACGGGGGGGAGGGAGTTGAGGTCAGGGAGAGTGGAGGGTAGGAGAGGGTGGCCGAAGGCACGATCGAAGAGGAAGGTCTTGATACGGACCTTGAAGGAGGCGAGGGAGGGAGCGAGGCGAAGGGAACGTGGGATGAAGTTGTGGGCAGACAGGTTGAAGGCCCGGCCGCTGATGGTGGAGCGGGCCGGCGGGGGACAAGGAGCAGGCCGGAGCCCGCTGAGTGGAGGGAGAGGACGAGTTGATAAGGTTCTTAATGTGGCTGTGGTTGGTGCCGATTGTTGGAACCTTCCCTCTGCTTCCATCTGTCTCACACCAGCCTTCAGCTAACTCTCTTCTCCGCTTTCTTTTCCTGTGTGTGTCTGTGTGTCTCTCTCTCATTCCTCTGTGTCTGTGTGTGTACATATGTCTGTCTCTCTCTTTCCTCTGTGTGTGCTCGTGTGTGTGTGTGTGTGTCTCTCTCTCATGTCTGTCCTTTCCTCCCTTTGTTCATTGAACCTTTATTGTATCGAGGATTTTGCTAATTACTGGAATGTGGTCACGAGATTCGGGGAAGGCTGGCCGAGATCCCAATAACCTGGCAGACGAGGGAGAGAGACGGAAAGCAAGTTTGATTATTGGTTGTCCTCAGGATAGGCTTGGAACTAACCAAATGAATCATTCCTAATTAAATGAGACTAATTAGTGGTCAATGAATGATTCAAGTATTTTCCCTGAGATTCAGTACCTCGGAGCACTTGTTATCTGCATTGTAATCTGCTCCTTAATAATCCTTTAATCATAATCTTTACATTAGATCCAGCGCCCTTCACATTGGGAGGACTCCTCAAAGCATTTCGTAGGATACACCATTACGGGAAGTGACTGCGATTTGTAAACTAACACAGCAGCCAATTTGCAAACAGCAATATTGTCCTCAACAGCTGTGAAGCGAGTGACCGATTGGAGGATTGTTGGCCAGGACGCTGAGAGAGAGAGAGAGGAAACTCCTTTCCCTTTTTGAGTTGCGCCCCCACAGGACACAGTCACTGGAATTTTACAGTAAATCCTGTGAAGTGCTTTGGGATGTCCTCCCACAACATGAAAGGCACTCCATGGATTGTCAGGATTATTATTAATGCCACGGGATTTTAATGGCAACCTGAACAGGCAGGAGGGTGGGGGGGGGGGCCTTGGTTTAACATCTTGTCCAAAGGATGGCACCTCTGACAACACTCCCCAAGTACTGCTCTGGAGTGTCAGCTTAGCTTAAGAGTTCGAAGTCCTGACCTGAGGCTTGAACCCACAACCATCAAACTTGGAGGCAAGAGGGCTACTGATTGAACCAGCTCTGGGGTTCTTATGGCACTGGAGTGGGGGGTGGGGAGAAAGGTAGTGTAGCCCTCCCTGTCTCAATCCTATGCCCTTTGAACATGATGTGACTAACTATTAAAAGTCTTCACCATGGGAAGGTGAGAGGGGTGTGTGGTGGGCGAGAGGAGATGGAAAAGAATACGGGTGGGGGGGGCACTTGGATTTGAACCAGGGACCTCTCGTTCCCAGGCAAATGGTTTAGACTGAGCCAGACTCGCATATGTGTGAAGCAGCTTGAAGGAGCGTTAATTTCTTTACAGTATCGGCCTTGGGTGGATTATTTGTTGTGACTGGCTCGACTGGCTCTGGCCTCCTGCTTGTCCCTCGTGCCCTCCGTTCCGCCATCGGTGGCCTGTGCTTTCAGCCACTACGCCCCGAAACACTGGAACTCTCTCCCTCAAACCCTCCACCTTGGCCCCTCCTTCCCCGTCTTCAGGTGTTGCCCGAAGACCTTCCACTTCAACTGTGGATAGATATTTGTTAGGTCAGGGTATCAACGGGTATGGGGCAAGGACGGAAAAATGGAGTTGAGGGACAGATCAGCCACGATCTAATACAATCGTGGAACAGGCTCGAGGGGCTGAATGGCATCCTCCTGTTCCTAGGTACCCCAAGGCACAGAGGGTCTTTGTGATGGTCGTGTCCATTCATTGCAGGACTGACTCTCTGGGACTTTACTCTGCGTGAGGGGGCGCTGTGTAAATGCAGGTTGTTGTTGACTGTTGCGGACTCTCTATTTCAGCTCCAGGCCAATTTGATTCCTGGCCTGAACCTGAACGCCCTGGGCCTCTTCCCACCCACATCAGCCACAGTTCCACCTCCCCCCGTGGGGGTGGCATCAGCGACTCCTTACGGCTCTTACGTGGTAAGTGGAACCCTAAACATCTTTACGTTTCGAAGTACCGTCTTCCACGTCAGCCGGGACCCTCTCACAGCCCCCGGGGGGGCAGCACGCTCCAGTGCTGCTGTTTGCTTAGTAATAATTAATCATAATAAAAATCCTTGCATTTGACGTAGCAGCGTATCACGTCGTTGAGACGTCCTAAAGCGCTTCACAGAATAGACGGTAAAGTGGAGTGACTGTATATTTTAGTGGCAAACGCAGTAGCCAATTGCGCACTGCAGCGTCCCACAAACAGTCGTGGATTGAGGGACTGTTACCCCCTGCAAAGGGCTCCATCAATCGGCTAACAACCAGGTTCCTACTTTCTGCTCGGTGAACAGAGGCGTGCGGAGTAAGGACACTTGCCCAAGGAATCGATCCTCTCGCTTGCGAGGCGAGGGCTCTGACCACTGCACCACCGGACTCCCAGTGATGGGTTGACAATGTTCTGAGGCTTTCTTTTTTTGTTCTCTCAATTTTTCTTTTCCATTTTGCAGCAAACCCCAGAGCAGGAGACGGTTCATGTCTTCATCCCCGCCCAGGCCGTGGGTGCCATCATCGGCAAGAAAGGGCAGCACATCAAACAGCTGTCCCGGTTTGCTGGTGCTTCCATCAAGGTAAGAGCTTCACATCTCAAAGACAGGATAAGACGCTGCATCAAATGGAACAAATGGGCCTTGGAAGAGTTGGAGGCTGGTCGTCGCAGATTAGGGCAGAGAGGGCTGCCGAGGGGGAGAGAGAGGACAATCCATTGCTAGATCGTCCACCAGAATAGGGATAAACAGCAACAGGAGGAGACCATCAAATCACCAGTTTCTGATCGGAAGCCCCTCTTCCTCCACAGTGAAGGGTTTGTTGCTGTGTAGGTTGATATGCGTGGCTGGGGTGGGCTGGGGTGGCACTGGTCTGTCCGTACATGATGGGTGACACTTGCTGCCTTTCCTTCCCAGATCGCCCCAGCAGAAAGCCCAGACACCAAACAAAGGATGGTGATCATCACAGGCCCTCCCGAGGCCCAGTTTAAGGTAAGGCAGCCAGAGGACAACGGAGATGGGTTAGAGCCAGTGATGTAGGCCTTGCTATCTCGGAATTCTTGGTAGTCCAGTTCCTGAGCCAGGCGTGTCCGCAGTATTCCAGGGCCCTGCTGATGACAGCACAGCCCAACCTGACTCATCAGCAGGACTTGGAAGGGCAGACCAGTCACTGGGGGCAAGGAGTCATCCCACTCAGCTCCCGTTAACCCTGCAAACTAAAGCCCTAATGGGTAAGGTGGTCCTAGATGGACAAGCAGCGGGAAAGCTGGCCAGACAGTGCTATCCTCCAGGGAGAGAGAGTGCACATTCCAACAATCTATCTCTGGGATGGTGATCTGTTAGGTCAGGGTAACGAGGGATATGGGGCAACGGCGTGTTATTGCTGTTGAGGTACAGATCAGCCATGATCTTACAGAATGGCAGAACAGGCTTGAGGGGCTGAATGGCCTCCTCCTGTTTCTATGAGAGCTACCAGCTGGGCCAGGCTGACACCTAAGTTGGGAGAGAAGCTGTGACCGGGATATCTTCTCTTCCCCAGGCCCAGGGAAGGATCTACGGGAAACTGAAGGAGGAAAATTTCTTTGGACCAAAGGAAGAAGTTAAACTTGAGACGCACATCAAAGTTGCTGCCTCAGCCGCTGGCAGAGTAATAGGCAAAGGAGGAAAAACTGTAAGTGCATCAGTTTGTAAGCCGAATGTTTGCCTTCAGGGTGATTTGGGAGCATTCCACACTAACTGGCCCACTTCTGCAGAGACTACAAGCATTACGCTGAACGGACTTTTTACCCGACTCAACTAACCCCCTTTTTTTTTGTCTGACCTTCTTCCTCTTTGTCTGTCTATGGGGTAATCCTCAACTCAAGAGCGTGACTGATTTGTAGATTGTTAAGTGTTCTCGGGCTCTTTTAACCTTACAACACACGGGGTTTCAAAATCCTTCAAAATCCCTTACGTTACAGTATAGTTCACACTTGTACAGCACCTTTCTCTTAAGCGCTTGACCATAGTGACTTGGGGTGGGAACCGGGAGAGGTGGGGAGCACCTCGTCTTGAAACGAGGTGGGTGTGTGGTGGGGGTGAGGGTGGGGGGAGGGAGGGAATGAGTCGGAGAGTTCTGGGGATGGAGTTCCATTGAGTGGGAGCAAAATGTCTGGTCTGCCGGCTGATGTGGGAGGACGGGAGGAGCAACGTGAAGCAGTCTGGTGCTTTGCTGATCGGTGCGGTCGAAGGAGGTCACAGAGGCGAGACCGTGGAGGGATTTAAATAAGGGACAGAAGATCTTGAATCCAATCTGCTGGGGGACAGGGGGCCAGTAGAGCCTTATAATGTTTCTTATAAGACATAATGTTTCTTTATAATGTTTCTTCCCCGACTTCCAGAATGTCGCACCCAAAGTCTCTTTTGTGCCACATTGCCAATCATCCTGGAGTAAGCTCACAGTTGGATCTAGGACATCCAGACCATTGAATTTCTAGATACAATTGGTGCAGTAATGGAAGTTCTACCCCTCAGTGTCTTAACATTTTGCAACAATTGTACCACCGCTTATTGGATGTAGTTGGTGACGTGTAAGGCCAGAGTTATTGGACTAACCTTCCAGTAAGAGGTCAATTTGAGTGATGGAATCCTGCTGACAAGGAGCCTACAGTGGCCAGAGAGCATTAGATACAAAGATGGACCAGTCACTGGAGGCAGGGAATCAACCTACTCAGCTCCTGTTAACCCTGCAAGCCGAAGTCCTAACAGGTAGGGTAGTCCAGCAGGACAAGCAGCGGGAAAGCTTGCCAGACAACAGTATGAATGGCAAGCTATGCGGTTTTAGCTGGTTAAACTCCAGCAGTTACCCCAACACACACTCTGGGGTCCCCAAGCCTTGGCTCTTGCCAACCTGCGCCTAATACCTTCCGGAATTAGGTAAGCAGGATGCATCCTTCCAGGGAGAGAGTGTGCATTCCGTTCCAATAATCTGGTCTGGGATTTCCATGTGTAGGTGGGATGTGGGGAATTGTCAGTTTGGTTTGGATGCTCTTAACTATGATGATGGGTTTCCATGTGTGTCAGAGACCCGGATGGCCTAAAAAAACAAACAAAATAGTTTTTCTCACTCACTGATGCCTCTGTGATGCTCAGGATGTTTGTTCTGCAGGTGAATGAACTACAGAATCTCTCCAGTGCGGAGGTAGTTGTACCACGAGACCAGGTGCCAGATGAGAATGACCAAGTTGTTGTCAAGATTATTGGTCACTTTTATGCAAGTCAGGTAAGCACTTCCTCTCCTGATCCTTTGTCCTTCTCGTGTTCAATTCTCTCCACGGCCTTGCTCTCTCCGTCCTATCTCCCATGACTTCCTACGACCCCACCTGCTTACCCTCCAACTCAATTACTCAATGCTTCCACTCGACTGGCTCCGGCCTTCTGCATGTCCCTCGTTCCACCATTGTGGGTGCGCTTTCAGCCACTGTGTCCTGAAAGTCTGGAACATTCTTCCTCTATTCCTCCAACAACTTGCCCCTTCCTTTCCTATCTTCAAAAAAAAATCTGAAGGTTTCTCGACTGCTTAAAAAATGGCCGCCTTCTAGATAATCAGTTTGCCAAACACTTGCTCCGTGAATGTGGAAATGCTCGATTGCGCTCCCCTTGCCTTTCCCCCATGCCCCCATTATAACACAGGATAGCATTTTATGTGCCCCCACCCACCCCCACACCACCACTGATCTGTCTCTTTGCTCCCCCAAAGCTCGCCCAAAGGAAGATCAGGGATATATTGGCTCAAGTCAAGCAGCAACAACAGAAGTTACAAAGCAGCCAATCTCAGCCACGGAGAAAGTGAAGACCCTAAAATACTCCAAAGGCCCCTTTCCCTTCTCTTTCCCCTCTCCCCCCCACCCCAACACCCCTCCCCCCACCCTCAAACACCCCAACCCTAATACCGCCCTTCCCTCTCCCTCCCCCCCCAACACGCAACCATGGAGACAGATGCCAGGCCAAAGAGTGGCTGTGTTCAGATCAATTCTTTTTTGTTTGTGTTTTAAACTGTGGAAGGCTAAGTAAGCTTTGTGGATTTAAAGAGAATTATATTACAGGAGCAATCCTATGTAATTTCCCCCCTCTCCCCCCCACCCCCAGCCCCCATTGCCCTCATTTCAAACCGAGGAATTTCTTTTTTTTTTTAAAAAACAAAAAAAAATCACAAACACCTTTAGGATAGCGCTGGCTCCATTCTGCTAGTCCTCGACCAACTTAGTTCTGAACATTGGCGTCATTGTATAAATGGGCTGCGATGTAGTAGGAGGCAGGGTGACCTGACTTGATCTACCTGCCCAGATCCAAACGGATGACCGCCCAAGTAGAACAGAATTACAACCGGGTTTGGGATTTTTGTACGTTTTTTTTAATATAACATTACTGTTTTGACTTTTTAGTTGTTAGCAGTAGAATTACTACATTAGCAATTTCTGCCACTAACAACTCCACTGAGGATTGCTCCTTTTAGTCCTGTTCCCTGCCCACCCCCACTCCCTTACCCCCTAGCCCCTAAATCCACCTCCCCACCCACCTCCTCGGCCAACGGCTCTAATCTCCTCATTTCACTCCGAGCTTTTAGGCAAATGAAGGAAGAGGCCAGGACAGGTTGGTGAGGAGATGAAGAGCGTTGGGTTGGGAAGTCAAGGGGTTGGCTTTGATAGAGGAATGTTTATTAAATTAAGAGCATTAAGACCAATTGGGTGAGGGGGGGGGGGGGGTTATGCGTTGGATTTCCAAAGACAATTTGGTACCTTTTGGCCATCGATGGTCCTCGATCATACGCTGGTCATTAAATGGGTAAAGATGTCATCTCGAGCCTTGGAGCCGAAGGTTGCCATTGGAAATCTGTCCCATCTGAACCCTACTAAGTTTTTGTTTTTCTACTGTGCTATGTAATTCAACCTTACCTCATGAAGTTTCTGCGAGCTTTTGAACTCTGAACAGCTCCCGATGCCCCTGAAATGCGCAGAGCGGTTCGGAGGTTTGGGGAGGGGGGTGGTGGGGGGGGGGGGGGGGGGTGGGGGGGCGGCTGCTGGAGGGGAATTCAAAAGACGCATGATTTAGAGAAGGGGTGACCAGGGTCTTTGATGTCATTTGACCATGTTGGTCGTAAGTCACTGACCTGCTGCCCCTACCCCAAATCGTGTTTTCCAGACACTATATGCAAGTCCTATGAGCAAAAATATCATCCTACCAGGATACGAACCCTGTAGGAGTTTGAAGCAAGCAAGAAATACCATTTTAAGTTGAAGAAAAGTTCCCTAAAAGTCTTCCATTGTTGATTTAAGGTCAAATCTTTTGTCTATTGCGGAGCCACTCCTGGGAAGGAGAGATTCCTCCGCGTTCTGGATGGGCGTGACGAACCGAGAGAGTGTAAAAAAAATCGGAATAACATTACAAACTCGGTAGTAACGTACATTTGTATCCTGTGTGGATACAATTTAAAGATAAATATTACAAAATGGAACCGAAAAGCTTCTCTTACATTTCGATGGGAGCTGTCCGATCATCCCTCATGAATCAATTGGGGTCTCCTTAACTTTGATTTAAAACCCTTTTTTTTTCTTCCTGATAATACTTTAAATGCCTGGGAAGATGTTTCCAGGTTTTACCTCAGCCATAAACCTTTGACCTTAACCTTAATCTTCTGGCAAATGTTAATGGGGCTGGAAAAGGTTAAGCTACAATGTTTACAAATACTTCAGGGACAGTTATTTTCCGAATTGTCCCAACGATTTTCCAAATGGGATTTTGAGAGAAGGCGTGTTACTCTCCGCCAAGGTCCCAAGTGAAAGGATTCTTATAACCGGGTGGCTTCATAGACCTGGTGTGTTCTGACAGATTGGGATGTCCGTCGAAACCAAGCAACAAGAGAAAGGGGTCGGGTTTGCGATGGGGTTGGTGGTGGTGGTGGTGGTGGTGTGGGGGGTGAGGGTGGGGGTGGGGGGGTTGGTTGGTCTGTCATATGCTAAGGAGACACCTAAGAAAAATGGGCAACCTTTTTAAATTAATAAAACGATTTGATTTTCTACACCCAGCCTTCCACAGCATTAAAACCCAAAAGTGTTGTGTTCTTGGCGAGTGTTAAATGAATTGTGACGGTTACGGAGGTGGTGCCGGCCAACCTTTGTGTGCGTGCTTGTGCGTGTGGTAATAACTTAAAACGTGTTCTACTCTCTTGACCTCAACAGCTCGTTGGCAGGTCGCCATCAGACAGACAATAAGGGTCTGACGTGCTTTTTGACTTGGGGGCCAACCCATCCATCCAGAACGAGCAGTGTTTTAAAACGAAAACAGGGAGTCGCTGGGAACACTCGGCAGGTCGGGCAGCCTCGACGGAGAGAGGACGCTGAGTGTTCCCAGCGACTTCTGTTTTTTCGTTCCAGATTTCCAGCAGCTGCAGTGTTTTGCGTTGCACAAATGTTTTTATGCCTTTCTCCACCTGGCCATTTTAATGAGTCGAAAGCGTGAATTGTTGGGCAAGAAAGTGTTTTATGTTATTATGTATTATGTATAATGTTTTATATATATATATATATATTATAAAATATATGTGCAGGGTGATCGAAAAGTCATGATATTATCTAAAAACAAACAAAAAACATCATAACTTCTTTAAGACTTATCAGACATTGTAATGGTATCACGGATTTTTGGTCACCACATGTATGTATATTTGTGTGTGTGTGTAGATATATATATATATAAAACAATATCGCAAACACACTTTGGGTACCACGAGTCAATGAAAAAAAAGGTTAGAATTCAGGTTGAGTTGTTGTTGTTGAGTCCCAAGTAAGTAAACGAGGAAGGGAGACCTTGTATTTAACAAAAGAAAAAGCATAATGTGAGTGAAGAGTTGATCCAAGGAGAGAACGTTAAGACGTCTGTTCTGGAACATAATGCCGAACGGAACAGATTTGCTCTTTTTTTTTAAATTAATAAAAAAAAATTTTAATTGAGTTGTAAAACAAAAAAAAATGGAGAGAAACAAAATCACAACACTGCTAATAAGAAGAGACCCTGAAGGAAATGTATTAAACAGCATTTGGCCAAGGGCATTGCTGTGTGCTTTTTACTAAGCTACCTCAGGTGTTTTTAGTACCTCAACGTTGTTCTTTTTGCTTGCTGGTATTTTATATACTTATAAAAGCAGATAGTCTTGAATATTTTATTTTTTTAATAAAAAAGAAGTAAAATTTGCTGAGTTATTAACAGCCGAGAGCTGGACGGGACAGGACAGGACAGCTAGTGCTGTTAGTTTTATTATTTTTTTTTAGGTTTTTTTTTTTCCCTTTTGTTTTCTTGCTTTTTTTTTATTTTCGGTTGGTCTCTCGATCTATTTTAGATCTAACTATCAAAAAGAAAAGATTAAAAACAGGGGGTGGGGGGTGGAAAAAGACAGCAATCGCCTCGGAATAGGCTGAGCGAGGCGTAGAAGCTGCCACATTGGGAGCAAAAGAAACATTGCATTTTTTAAATATTTAAGACGTCGCGCTGTGGTGATGTAGCCTTTCTATATTTTTAGATGATAAAAGAAATCATATCTCGTGTCCCGCAGTTCTGTACATGTCCTGCTTTTTCCTCTTTGATCAGCGGAGTTGTACCAACTCTTCAATCTCATGTTAAACCCGATGGCTTCAACAACCTATATCTCCCTCCCCCCCCACCCTGTCCCCCCCCCCACCCTGTCCCCCCCCCACCCTCTCCCCCCACCACCGCCCGCCAGCCAGACATGGTATTTTTAATTACCCTTAAATTCTTTTGGGACATTTTAATGGCAAATGAATTTGAGTGCTAAAAATCACGGCAGTGAATTAATTCCCCTTTTAACTGGACAGGTAGATTTTTTTTCAGTGCTGAAAGGTTCATTCATTCTATGTTTCGCCTGTGAATTGAATAATAATTTGTGGATTTCTCCCCCCCCCTCCCCCCCATGCCCCCACTCCCATTTGAGTTTAATTTTGCTGTGTGCGCGTGTCTGTGTATTTAAAGTCCAGGCAAAAAGCTTCAAACAAATAACGTCCGCAACCCCCACCCTTGGGAAGAAATCTGGTGCTAAGATAGATTTGGAAGCTCCCGTTTGGACTGTTTTTTAAACAATTAAATGGATGTTTATGGGCAGTTTTGTGAGGAGAGAGGGTTGGAGCTCTTTGGACCCATCCCATTGCATTAAGCAAGGCTCATGTCTCTCTCTCACACACAGAACACGCACACGGAGACACGCACACACACACACACACATACACACACACACAGATACAGACATACACACACATAGCAATGTGCATTATAAAGGACTTTTTTTTGCTGTGTCAAAAAGCCATTGTGTTGCATCGGCAACTCAGTGTCATCCACTCAACAAACTTTTTGGGGGGAGAAGGAGTGTGGGTGTGTGTGTGTGGGTGTGTGTGTGGGTGCGTGGGTGGGTGGGTGGGTGTGGGAGGGGGAGAAATCCAAGCTTTTACAGATTGCTGCTTTTAATGCATCAAATAGGTCAGAAAAACTAGACTCTGAAAGTGATGGTTCCCAGTGCCACTGATCATTACAAGTGCTCTGGGGCTCTGCTCTGCCCGAGAGACGCCGTGTCAGTCAGCGCAAGTTGCCGTTGCTGCTGGCTTCAGAGTCGGTTCCGCCCTTTGCTGCGTTTTGCAGAGGAAACCTGTTGCCGTCTCCCCATCCTCTTATTTGCTTCACTTCCGAACCGAAGCGGCCCGTTCAGACTTTCGGCTTATTTGGGAAAAAGAGTTTTATTTTTGTTTCGATAGCGACCCTGGTCTCAACCTACTGTTCCCAAGTCCGTTTCACTCGCCTTTTCCAGCCTTTACATAGTCGAGCGACAGTGCTAACGACCCGA